CTTCTCATGCCCTGAGACTCTGTTACAAGTTGGCCTTTGATTTCATACTGTCTTTTATTGCTACTCAACAGTTTTAAAAGGAGCCCTGTGGAGTGAAGGTTAAGTGCTCGGCTGCTAACCAAAACGTTGGTGGTTCAAACTCACCCAGTGGCTCTATGGGAGGAAGACCCGGCGATCTGCTCCTATAAAGATTACAGCCAACAAAACCCTATGGGGCCGTTCTCTTCTGCCGCATGCGGTCACTGTGATTCAAAATCGACTCGAGGGCACCCAACAACAACAACAACAACCGTTTTGAGGTTTGTTTTATGGCTGATACAGATTGCATATGCTCTGGGGAAAGGAGTGAAGCTTCCTCCTCTGGACCCTACGTGGCATCTTGGAAAGTCACCGAAGGGCAGAGCCGAGCTCAGGGTCACACCGCTAGTCCTGACTCCGAGACTCTTTCCACTTCACCTTGCGTTTGGACACACAGTGGATGCCCAATAAATCCTGACTTGTTTCACTGTGGTTCTAGCCATTTCTAAGAAAGTGTTCAGCAGCCAGGGCCTCTGACAGCCTACACCAAGCCTCTGTGCAAATTAGGGAGAAGGCACCCCTTCCTCCAGGCAGACCCAACCTTGTCAGTGTGCACAGCTGGGCGAGGAGAGCCCGGGCTGGGTTTCAGCCCTCGGCTGGGTGCCCTCTTCTGTGGGTATCTGTACCACCTGGGCAGCTTTATGAGCAACTGTGACTCCATGCCCTGGCAGTGCAGTGGTTTAAGTGATGGACTGCTAACCGAAAGGTTGGTGGTTCAAAACCACCAGTGGCTCCACGGGAGAAAGATGTGGCAGTCTGCTTCGATTTACTGCCTTGGAAACCCCATGGAGTCGCTATCAGTCAGAATTGACTCAATGGTAACAGGTTTCGTTTTTTTTTTTTCGGTGACTTTTTTTTGGTGACTCCACGGGGGCCCCTGGCTCCTCCTGAAGACAGCAGATCTCCCTCACCATGTCTCCCCATGCTCCATGCCTACAGGGAATGTTTGGTATTAGATTCTTCCCAGCTTGCCTCCCAGTCCCTCCCAGTCAAAACAAACAACAACAACTACACACCTTCACTAGCTCCTTGCTCTGCGGGGCCTGAAGTCCACATTCCCGGCAGGGCACTGGAGGCTGTCTGCAATACAGTCCCAGCATTCCTTTCTCCTACGGGAAGAGTCCAGAACTCACCAGGAGTGTTCTGACTTCCAGGCATTCGATTTCCCTCAGCCCAGAGGGCCCTTGGGAGTCCCTGGGTGGTACAAATTGTTAACGTTCTTGGCTGCTAACCAAAACGTTGGAGGTTCGAGTCTACCCAGAGGTGCCTTGGAAGAAAGGCCTGGAGATCTACTTCCAAGAAAATCAGCCATTGAAAGCCCTATGGAGCACAGTTCTACCCTGACACATGTGGGGTTGCCAGGAATCAAGGTTGCCATGAGTCAGTCGACTCAATTACAGTTAATTTTAGAGTGGCCTCTGCCTGCTGGTCTTTGTGTCAAATCCTGCTTCCCCTTTCAAATCCCATCATAAATCCCACCTCCTCCACGATGCCTTAATCAGCATTAACTGTTCTTCTTTGTGCTTCTTCCCACCTCACCTGACTCTGCCTTCCACAGAGCTTCCATGTG